ATTAATTTCAAAAAAATATTTTGGAGAACAAATTTTATTTGAAGAAAAAATCTCATTGTTTAATATTGTGGTTGTAGGAAGATGTCGAAAACATGTAAACTTGAGCAATTTGAGAAAATTCAGAGTTAACAGTGAAAAACGGATGCATGCCATCTTTATAAGTGTTTTTTTTAATCTATTCTTACAAAACATTCATGAAACATTTTGTAGCATTTTTGAGAAAATTTGAAAGTGTTCCAATAGTTTTATGTCAAATACCATCAAAAACTGAAGAATGTTTTTAACAATATCAGAGCTTCGAGTCGAGCCAGATCAGACGGGGAATATTCAGGGTGGAAAACCCGGTGGGTAGTTTACGCGCTAGTGTTATTCACTGACCGGCGGACTGACGGAGGTTTGAAAAAAACAAACATTTTTTTCTCCGTTATCAGGGGACTCCAAAACGTGTATTTCCGATATTTCTCTATACTACGTATATTATTCCGAATACGAGAAAGTAAAAACGAAAAGTGTGACAGAACGTTTATTATTTACATATTTATTCATTAGTTTTGTGAGTTATTCTGTTGTATTTCCTAGAATTAAATTAATTCTTGGAAAATAATTAATTACGTTATTGTCTCTAGTTGATGAATGACTTGACAAAACGGGTATGCATCTCTCATTTTTGTGAAAATTTGCACTTGCTCATCCGTGAGCACTCTCCATTTATTATCTGGTGAACCCAGCATTCGACCTTGGTAGGCCTGCGTTTTTCACATGAGCGTGACATAGCAGGTGGGAATTCTGAAAATCTGCCTGTGAACTGAGGGAAAAAAAAAGAGGATGAAATCTACAATCATTTTTTGATTGCTTTAAATAATTTTTGACACGTGGTTGATGCTGTCTGACCGAACATTTACCATTACTTTTTTTAAATGTTGACATTTGTGTGAAATTTATTTTGATGTGTTGAAATGCATGACGAATAAAGAATGGAACATTTATCATCAGCCATATATTGTATTACAAGGATGAACAGTTTTCTTTCTTATGATCGTTAAGATCTTTGCTTTGTTTTGTATTGATGAGTTTTCTATTATAAGAATCGTTCAGATTGTTTATGATCAAATTGAGTTTACTTTTCCTTAAGATTTTTTTCATTATGTTTTGCAGCCTTCACAGTTTGTGGTCGCTATACGACACCCATTAACTTGTATACTGGTTGACAGAATGACTGTAATTATATCTGCGTTCACCTTTCGCCTGCAAAAACAATCTGGATGGAAAACGAGCCTGTTCTTCGCAAGGTCTTCTGGTCAATCATGCACGGCATTCTCTGAACGCTCTGTGCTTGGCATGCTTATTCCGGGTCGGGTTGGGTTTCCACGTGTTTGGAGACGGCGCCACCTGACACGCATCATGTATGTGGGCAGGCTCATCTTCCCCATCTCCTCCTCCTTTTTTTTTCTCTCCTTCGCCATTGCGGTCTCTTTTCTACCCTCCTGTCTTGCCTCATGCTGCTGGCGCTCCCGCGCCGCCACGCACCGCCTGTAACTGCCCTCCGCAACCGCATCGCCGCTGTGCGTGCCTGGGCTGCTGTCCGGATCACGGTCCTGCACGCCCGCCGCCGCGCGGCTCCTCCCCCCTTCCCCTTCCACACTGCCGCCGCCTTACCGCTCCTTCCTCCACCGGTTCAATCCGCCTCTCCACTGCGTGCTGCATCTACCCGGACCACAGTTCCGCCGCACCGCACTAGTACACCAGTCTGCAAAGGTTGCTCCCAGCGAGGACTTGCATTGGCGCGGCCAATAGGAAAACTTATTCCGGACATCTGCAGAGGCCATCAACAACAACGAGGTGCAGAGGTCACAGTGCGCATTCGTAGAGCCATAAAGTAGCTGTCGGAGGAACAACGAGTGGACCTTCATCTGGACGGGTACCGGTCCCCGCCCCCCGCCCTCGCCCGCTCCCGTGCCGACCTCGCCTCCTCTCGTTTTATAAAAAAAGTTGCTCCGCGGGCGAGGTGTCTTCGCAGTGTGCGGCGAGACTGGCGAGCTTTAGGTTGTGTGCGGCTGCCACGCGCGCGCGGGCGTAGCGGCAGTAAGGGAAGAGCGGTTCCGTCGGCGCAGCACCGGTTGGAGGATACTGATCGACGTGTTTTCAAGCGTTTATTATTAAAAATATGCATTTTAATTGGGTTCGATGCAGATACGTGTGGTGATGTGTTTTGTTGAGAACCATGTGGTGTGACCTGTCAACACGTGTGTGTGTGCTTTTCTACCGGCGCTGAACAGATGACATTGTTGCTTTATTGCAAGTTTTAAGTATTTCGTTCCGTGTTTTGGAGTTTATTAAAGAATGCTGTTTGTGGTGTCAGATTCACCAATCCTACGTACCGTGAAGAAAACGCGGATCTGCGCATCTCTACAATGTACGGGAATCACACGTCCTTTATTACCCAGGTCATGCACTGCCGCAGTCTTGTCGACGGAGAAATCTCATCAACTGCAACGGGCAGAAGGAATGCATAATCAGCCATTGTGTGTTGAAGTAATTCTGGAGTGATTGAGGAGGCATGTGAATGTTATTTGAGTTGGATTTATTGGATATTTGATCTTTGCTGATCGACTTACAAACGTCTTATTTATAATGCACTTAGAGGTACATAATACTTTTTTTTAAATGTTGCCCATTCCTGAAGAAGCAAGTGATACTAGTACTAGTATGTTTTGAACATCTTCGAACGGTCGTTGAGTCATAAAAGATTCTTAGAAACCCGCCTATCAAGATTTACGTGTGGTCAGAATTATATCTTTCCAACCTCACACTTAAACATCCCCAACGCAGTCAACACTGTCATCATATATTTTCAAGAATACAAATTACTTTTAAGACTTACGTTGGTGATTTAAGGCGGCGTCAGACGTCATGGAAACCCCATAGCAGCACGCGCATCACGACCTTGTGGAGCAGCATCGCTTGGTTTGGTTCCAACGCACGCGTAACAAAAGAAGCGCCTGGAGGCGCCCGCCGGTAGTAGCGCGTGTCTTGCTTTGTGCGGACCGCCGGCGCGTGACCGAATTTGTGTACTACTACATCTTTTACGGTAATGCTAGTCTCTTTTGTGCCAAACACCACTGATAGAATTAAGTATCAGCTGCAAGGAATGTTCATATGTAACTCAATTGCAGTGCATGTATGATGAATTTGTGAGGTGTAATAATATGTTTGCGAGAAAATTTTAACTTTTTGTTGCGCGACAGTGATGTGGAAATCAGTTAGGGGTACATCCATTAAGGAGGAAGGTAACTTGTATGTGTTGTACCAACCTCAACAATTTTTGTCGATACTTCCAGTGTTTTTTAATCCTGATCATAACTAGAATACGGAGCATTTGCTTTTATCGTGTAATAATTTTCAAAAGAAAACATTGATCTCAAAAACGTGACAGTTAAATATTTGCACAAAGCGTTAGTATAAAATTCGAAATTCGTCAGAAGTGCGGGAGAAATAAACATTAAGTCAATTTGAGCAACCTGGAATTCGAACTTCTACTGTGATGTGTATGTTTCGAGCCCGTGTTGTGCATAACGAGGCGTCATAAGGAATAATAAAAACTACTCTCCTCTTCCTGTGAAGTAGGTGCAGTGAGAAACCTTGTGTCCGTGAGCCATTTTGAAGTCAGAGTGACCCCGAACAAAAACGACTTGATTGCGCTCATCGTGCTGCTGTGTCCGTCACGACATATGCAAAAGAAGAGATAATTTTCGAGCGAAGCACTTATAACGACGTCAGCGCAGCAAGGGAGGAGGTGGGGTCTCTCCCCTTTAGAGTCGCCCGTATTGAAAAGGAAATTGGCGAGCGCGCCGCCATGACGCGCGGAGAGGCCACCTTGTCCCGCACCATCAGCGCACCGGCGTCGGCGGCGCCGCCCGACCCCGAGGCCGCCGGCCCGCGCACGTCGGTGGCTTCGACGTTCCGCCTGTCCTTGCCCAACGGGCGCAAGATCTCCACGGCGTCGGGCGCCGCCTTCACCAACCGGGCCTTCACCGACGACGCCGGCGACGTGTGCGTGGACGGCTGCAAGCGGCCGGCGTCGTACGCGCCCAGCGGCGTCACCAGCCGCGACGTGGTGCAGCGCTCCATCTCCCAGGTGCTGGACGCGGCCGGGGAAGACGG